TCCCATTACGGTGTTAGAGATGCTTTCCTTGGGGGTGGAGGGTTGTGAGTCTTGCTTTACAATAAAAACAAATTACCTTCGAGAACACAGCAAATTTTAATTTCCCCCAAATTAAAAGGGAGGAGAGCTTATTTTTCTCCTAACAGACTGAGACAAGTTTTCTGCAGCTTAGAAAGAGGGGCAAAAAAATCAAAAACTGTATTCTCTGGAGATTAGAACGCTTCTTACAATCACATTTAGAGTTTGTGATTCAGCACCCACAGGGAAGATTAGGTTTCTTCCACCTTGACTGTTTCTCATTTCTTCCCCTGATTCTCTTGCCTGTATCATAAATACTCCTTTTCAGCCCCCTAAATTGTAGCTGTTTTCCTTTGAGAGACATTTGAAAAGCAATCTTTATTACCATTTATTTTGGATCTCCTCTTAGAGTTATTAATGTGTTAATGCATTCTCCTTCTCTGGTCAGGGAAGATTGAGCTTTCTTCAATATGAGAAGGATTTAATTGATTTATTTCATAATTTAGAGTCCGTTGGTCTAGATTGCAGAAAGACAAGTTCCTTTAAACTCACTGCAACTACATTTGCTTTTGAAGGAGCCCTTTATTTTGCAGCAAATAAAGTGTCCTTATTAAACAGAAAATAAAAGAATGTCTGGCAGGACTCTGCTCCCAATGGGTGAAACATCACAGGAAATTGAGAAATTGTTTCTTTTTAGCCTTGTGGGAGAATCTTGCTGGTGAGATTTCGTATTAAGGTCTTAAGACTACTGCTTAAATCCATCAAGAAAGACCCATTGAACAAGGGACAGCTTGAGAAGGAAGAGAGCACCAAGGTGACCTTGCTCTCCCAGGGCTCTTATATTTTCCAAGAAATCTGGGGAATGGCCAAGAAGAGACAAAATAACTGTGTCATTGTGTTAAAGAGAACTTAGACCTACTTTAGTAATTTAGGATTAAGTTTGTCAAAAGGGAGCTGCTGTTGGATGCCCTTTCATCAATGCCTGCAGAAGAGGGTGTCTCATTTGGCCAAATAAGAAATGTGTCCTAAGTATGGCGTCCAACTTACATTCTTCAGTTAGACCATGGGTGCTGGAACTTGGGCCTTGGACCTGTGTCCTGAGCTCTAGACCTGTGGTCCAGACCCTGGATGTTTCCCCTGTATCTTCACAGAGACGCTTGACCTGAGACTTGTGTCGCACACCCCTGCTCTGAGGTTAGCCACTCAGCTGGGTTCTGAGTTCCTTGCAGATGCTCTAGGCACCACTGTATGTTCTATTGTCCAAAACCAAACCCTTCCTTCCTCACTTCCCATACTCCCCCAGACATGACAAGTTCTGCTCACTCCCCTAAATGGGCCTGACAGCCATCTCCTGTCCCTGCACCCCTCCCCTGTGCCCGATGCAGGCCACTGCTCTCTCATGTCTTCTCTAGAAGCCTCCTGAATGGGTCTCCTGCCCTCATCTTTCCCTCTCACAATCCTGTTTGCATCCTACAGCTAAAGTGATTTTTCAAAAATTCAGCTTGATCATATTACTGCTTGGCCCAAGGGTGTTTTGTTTTATTTTGTTTTGTTTAGAGCCTACCAGCAATTTTCATTATAAAACTCACTCTTGGACTCGCGCTTGCTTCTGTTTCAGTTTCCTACCCTTCCATTGCATCACACTCTTAATACATACAAACTCCCCACTCTAGCTATAAGTGGACAGTGATAGGGCCTCTCTCTGCTTTTCCCCATTCTTGGCTAATTCTTTATTTTATTTTATTATTTTATGTTTGTTTATTTTTGAGAGGGGGGGGCAGAGAGAGAGGGAGTCACAGAATCTGAAGTAGGCTCCAAGCTCTGAGCTTTCAGCACAGAATCGGACATGGGGCTTGAACCCAGGAACCATGAGATCATGACCTGAGCTGAGGTTGGACACTTAACCAACTGAGCCACCCAGGCTCCCCTACTAATTCTTATTTTAAAAAACATGTTTACTTATTTATTTTGAGAGACAAAGAGAGCGAGGGAGAGCACACTGAGCAAGGAAGGGGCAGAGAGAGAGAGAGAGAGCCCTGACGTAGGATTTAATCTCATGAACCGGAAGATCATAACCTGAGCTGAAATCAGGAGTCAGATGCTCAACTGACTGAGCTACCCAGGCACCCCCCACCATTCTTGTCTAATTCTAATCTGTTACCCAGAAGCCAGAGAACTCTCACTTGACCATGTTCCCTAGATTGGGATACACACTCCTCCTGTGAGTCCCCATGGTCCCTTGATACACTTTTCCAATAGCTAATCCTCAGTTGTCAGCTCCCTGAGGGTAGGCCCAAATGAGGGATGCTTGTTTATCTTTGAATCCTCTGATGTACATGTGTTGATCAAGGGGGGTGGGGGGGGAAGGAATATCTAAAATAAAACAAAAGCATTTAGTGTGGGGGTGGATCTTAGAATTGCCATTTGGGGAGCACTGATTCAGGTAGCAACCCCAGCTGTGTCCCATCGAGGCGTGAAAGTCAGGGGTATTTATCAGCAAATTGCAGAAGTACTAGGAAACACATGCAAGCTGGTTTTCCAAAAATCATGGTTGGAAAATGTAATTATGTTTTGCATCATTGGTTTTTTTGAGCATACCATGTCAATGATTAGTAAACATCTTTTGCAGAGTATCCAGGTTTTATCCGGAATGTAGATCCAGCAACCCTGGTTCAGGCATATGCCTTTGCTAGGTTCAATGGTTCAAGGTATTTCCTATTTCAAAAAAACAAGATGAAGTTTTAGTCTCCAAATAGGGTCTCTCATGTTCAGAGGTCTGACCCAGGCTCACTCTTGTTGAACAAATAAGCGAGAATGAATGACTACATACAGTGCTTTCCTATATATAAAATTGAGTCCCAATTGCAATACTCTCCACTTTGGCTAGTTATGGCTAAGCATTTTGGAAGGTTGGAAAGGCAACTATGAAAGAATGAAAAAAAGGAAACAGATTTGGCATAAGAAGGCTGACTCTGCTCCGTTATTACTTGCTGTGACCTTTGCTAAGTTTATCAGCCTCTGAGTCTTAATTCCTTGTCAATGAACAGAGTATCATATGTTATAGGGTCTGGTGGAGGAGTAAGAGAGAAATGTCTTGTGTAGAGGACACACCTGGTGAATTACAATGCCTGGATAAGTCAGAGGGGCTCTGACCCTCTTCATATCTGTGTTCTTCTTACATGCCCAACCCTAGTCTTGGAGATGTGGGGTGTGAGGCATTTCATATGGCAAAGCTGAGAGTTAGGTGGAGTCACACCATCTCTGTTCAGTTAGGTGGAGACATGCCAATGGTAGGATGGAGGTAGAAGACGGTTCACCCTTCAATTTCCCTTTGGGTGAAATGTGAAAATACACTCCTACCTTCTCACACACTTTTAGTAAAAGTTGACCACATATGATGGAAAAGCAGTTGAATTCCGTGTGTTGGGTATCTTCCTTCACATGACTCATCTTTTTGGATTCACTAATTCCATTTCTAGGATTTATCTGGAAGGAATAATTTTTGAAAATGGGGATGGATGCACCTAAGATGTGAACAGGTGCTCCTTGCGGTCATATTTATTATTACAATTGACAAGAATCTGAAATGTGCAATCAGTGAGGGGCTGCTGTGGCACTGTCCTTCAGCAGGTTCTCCATAAGATAGAAATGATTTTGAAAGACAATGCTCAAGTGAAAGAGGCAGTCTTAAAAACTTTGATCTACTGTTTGATTAAAACTATGTAAATTAAACAAATGGAGAAAAACAGAAACTAACCAGTAGGCAATACACTCTGTTTTCAAAGGGATTCCTGGTAACTGAGAAAGCCACAGGCACAGCGCTGCCTCGCTAGACTGAGGACCCAGTGAATGAGGTTCACTGTCTTCTGTGCAAAGGGATCTTTATTTGGCATTGGATACAGGCCAGACCTTCATCCTGTCTTCTAAAACCTGGAAGAAAGCATTCAGAGGAATATCAATCAGAAGGAAAAATCTCCTTAGAGGTTGGGGAGCCCAAGTTGTAGGTTACCAGGGGAGGAAGGTTAAATAGAAAAAAGAGTAATCATAATGACAACTTTGTAAGTCATTTTTGATGGGGCAAAGAGTTTTCATATACATTGTTTCACTTAAATTGGCTCTTCTTTACAGCTTTACTACCTCTAAAACCCACTGTAGATCTGGAGATCTGAGAAACACAGTTACTTATTTGGGCTCCATACCCTTTATCCGCCTCTTATCCAGGGATTCCCCTGCTGTGTAGAGTTCACTTTGAACCCAGTGGAAATTACATAGAAGAGAACAGTCAGGCCCAGGAAACAAATAGGCATTTCACTGTGGCTTTATTCCCTGGAGGACCTCCAAACATTTGTCAGATCCTTCCTGACACGCGGTTCGTGGAGCTTTGTGTGACAAGAGGCACAGATCTGCTGTGAACTCCCTACTGTCACACAGCGAGTCAGTGGTAGAATCTGTGTAGCATTAAGATCCCCCCCCCCTTTTTTTTCCTTCTTGAATCCCCCTCCAGCCCAAATATCAGTTCTCCCACAGGACTACATGTTCCTTTTGTTACTGCCTGCTTCAGCTCCACAAAAGATCTGTTTTGTCTTGTTATTTTCCCACATTGCTGCGGTTGAGAACCATCATGCATTTGTCAAACGTGTAGCGTATTTTCATCCCCAGAGCTTAGTTAGATGATTCGATACTTAGGAAGAAGAAAGTGAGAAATCAAGAAAATCGCCCAGAGCCATTATCTCTGGGTTTGGGCCATTTTTTCTCGAAGACAGGCTACTGTGTTTTATCCGGTTCAAATGCCCATGTTCTCAGAATGAGAAATAAGTCTTTACACCAAAATTCAAGCATAAGTTTCCAGGTGTTTGATAGGAAGCTTTGGTCTTCACAGGAGCTTTTTGAGGAAGTCTGTTATTTCACTACGGACAGTGCTGAATACCCCCAGTTTACGCTTCTCTTTCGAAGTTTATTTTATGTTTTGTTGTGGTTTTCAGATTTCTCATGGTTTGGATTTGGGAAAGTAAAATCAAGACAAGGTGTTGGTAAGTAGTTACTCCTTCTTTGGATAAGTAACGAGTTTATGTTGCTTGATTCGGATGAAACTGCTTGGCTCTTCTTCTCACGTGTCAGCCCCTTGATTAATTTTCTGTGTTCCTTGTTTCTGATTTGCTGAAGACAGAGGACTAGAATTTTTCCAGAAAAGGCATGACTTTCACTCACTGAGTTCAGCAAATGGTTTTATATTTTTAAAGTCGACTTGTTTTTATCCCAGGAAGGCTGTCAATTGTTGTACAAGGTCTAGGTAGTTGCTGGGCTTTTCAGAAGCTTCAGGAAAGAAAACGCAACAGTGCCAAAGCTCTGTGTACACAAAGTTGGCTAAAAGTCAAGTCTGGACAAGCTGGGATCTTAACTTCCTTCGTTGGCCAAGATGTAGTATATTTCTGAATTGGTAAATCAGCTGTTCATTTATGACCATTTCTCTTTCAAAACAAGACTCTAATGTCCAGACGCTCTGATTTGTACTTGATTGCATTCTATTCCTTGCATTCAGACTGTGTGCTGACAATTGAAAAGCAGAGTTTGTAGCTTACCAAATGAGTGTACATAATATATCTCATCACTGGGATTGAAATCAGGTGTGATCTTCCGGGACCTCCAATTTGTTCAGTACTTTCTATGGGTACAGCGACTATGAACAGGAATTCATTAGAAAGCATAAGAAGACAGACTGTCTTCCATCACGCATGCATATTTCCAAGATCTGGCCATCTTGGGCATCCTTGTATTAGTATTATATTTTGGTAGCAAGCTTGGCTATAGGTAAAACTGCAAATTAGGGGAAACGTACCAGTGTTGTGGAGCATTCCAGTCCTGAGTCACCCTCTCCATATGTGTTCATCCCTTCCATGCAAGGAAGTCTGTTTCCTTTCCTGTTTTGAGCCTGATACTAGTAACCCTGACCCTTAGGCAGCCCTGTGAATTCCAAGGTCAAAGCTCTTAACTAGCAATGCTAAGATAGACATGTGGCAAAATTGGAACATTGGACTCAGCCATCTCAGGATTTGTTGGTGATTCCCCGAGGGGCACTTTTCAGGTTCAGCTAATCTCAAAGAGGCTAATCAGTCACTTTGCCAGGATGCCAGAGACTGCCTTACTGGGTAATCTTAAAGGTGCCCTGTGTTAAGGCTTTGTCCTGTATACATGTCGGCGGGAAGGAGGTAGAGGGTGATAAAGTTTTGTACCGTAGCGAGTGAGATGGGGGTCTTCTTGCCACTAAACAGAAGATCACTGTAACCATGTAAGCATTTTCCAGGCCAGTTTGCCCTGCTGAGAGGTACTTATTCTTAGAAAACTTCAAAAGCAGGGCTTCACCTTTTTAGGCCACAGCAGAGAGAATTTTTCTTCAGAATTGTTCTTTGAGCCACAGTCCATCAGAGATGCTGCAGCTTTAAAATGTAGGTTTTATTATTATTCGGGTCTGGTGAGGTCAACAGGCCAGAGGAGGACAGCCATTGAAAAGATAGTCTGTTACTCACCATTCCTGAGAGGAGAGGGCAGCCACACCACAGTGGGGGGACCCCAAGGGGAGCACTGGGGTCAGTCAGAGGGGAGAACATGGGGGCAAGAGCCTTTATGGTGGTTACCATGGGAAGGAACTGGTGAGGCAGGGTAAGTGGGTTTAGGATCAGCTGGTTTGAGTCATCTCAGCAGATCATGAGACAGACAGTCTGTCCTCGCTTGGCTGGTGCCTGACTCTGGGATGAAAGACAAGACAGGTGGATAATGGCCGGAGTATGACAGTCTGATAAGGTGAGGCAGGCTATGGATTGGTTGGATTGTATATGAAAGGTATGCTCTCAGCCAACTTCTTTACCATCTTTACCAGGAAGCTGGCGATCCCTGGGAGGGACAGGGTCAGTGAGGCCCCAGTGTTGAAGCATCAGAATACAGACAGTAAAACACAAGGTTAACACAGCTGCTCAAGAACAAGGATCTCTACCCTTGCCTCAAAGACATCATTGGTCTTGAGAGAAGGAAACCCCTTTCCCAGATGACCTTCAGCAATTCTTAGTACAGGAAACAAGTTTAAGGCTTGGAAATGCCTGTAAGTCAGACATGCAGTATACCTTACCGAGCAGCTCCGTTGAAAGAAAAATCTCTCTTTGCACCTGTAAAATAAAAATGGGCTAAAAAAAATGTTTCCAGACATAGCCCATAGTTGTCAGCTTAATAATTAGAACCATGCCTCCCCCCACAACCTAGCAGGTTGCACATACCCAGCAACTGGAAGATTTTATTAATATTATAAGCCTTTTTTTCAAACCCTCTCATATGAATTTCTTATAACACGCTGTGATGTGCCCCTGACTCTTCTTCTGTCTGTCTTTTTGTGGTGTCTCCTCAAGCTCGTGCACAGACACACAATGACACATCCCGTGATAGGCGCAGACAGCCTGCTGTCAAATTATATAGACATTCATTGTCCCTGCTGAGAGCTTTTCCTCCTTCCCAACTTTGCTGTGCTCCATTAGATCAAAATGTTCATAGAAAAATGGGCTGGATCCCCATAACCTCACCAGCCATATCAATCTTCCAGGGTTTAGAACATCAGTGATGAAGAAAACGACACTTGAATTAATATTCCCCTTGACAAATTGTTGAGGTTTACATGTTGCTCAGCTTTGTCAACAGCAGCCTTCTGGCAAAGTGAAAAGGCTTTTGAAAAATTACGTCTGAAGCTTTATACCACTTCCATGCTTAACATTACCCCCACCAAACAGACAGCCCATTCCCTGGGGCTCTGTTACCAGAGCTGGGGGTTCTACTCAGGGAAACCAAGGGAAGGAAAGGGTGTCCTTGCCTGGAGGAAAGCAAAGAGCGAGTATCTTGCTATACTTCTTGAAGTCAGGGCTGCACTGTGTCCGTGGCAGATGATCTGGAGCCCAAATTCCTGGAGGAGTCTCAGCCTTGTCTTCTAGCTATCAGCTTCCTCCATGATGATTGGATGCTACAGGAATGTCGGTAGCCTGACCTGGCCCAAAGGACACTCACAAAAGAAAGCAACTGGCATCAGTGTGTTTTAATCATTACAGGGGCTCCAGAAGTGAGTATCGCTGGCCTTCTGACAACATGCGGAATATCTGAACATGAAGGCTCCTGCATTTCTGGGGGTAAACATGGAGAAATGTACGACCTTTACTGTGCCCCCTCGGGAGCTCAGGCAATAACATGCTTTGGGTTCCTGCACCAGGGACACAGCAAGGGGGCCAGCAGTGGGAAGGTTTTATTGGCAAGTTGTAGCACCTCTTAGCACAACATTTTTCTGCTTTTTCATCTCTGGATTTAAGCTCTGGGTGATTTAGGCCTGTCAGGAAGCAAATCATAAAACAAGGATGGTTAAGGATATTGGAAAGAACTTGTCTTTATAGCTGCTGTTGGCAGAGTTTCCACCCTTTACTAATGCCGGTGAGCAAGGCTCAAGATGAACACAGCCAGTGAGCTTGCTTTTGCTCTGAGTATTCTGTGGATTCTAAATTGGCTGTGTGAGGACTTGTTTGCAGAATTAAGCCAGAGTGTATCATTAAAGGCAACTTAAATGCACATCCCCTTGAGAGGATGCTTTAAAAAATTACCTATAATAGCAGTTGGCTGCCTCCTACATACTTTGTTTAAGATTCAGCTAGCTGGGGAATGTCCAATTGTTATCACTACAAACTGTGATAATCTCCTTCTGCGGGGGAAAATGAATCTTGGAGGTCGGGGAATGGATTACCATTATCTTTGATCAGGGATTCGAAAATGTATGACACAGTTACTTTTGTCTTTAGAATTGCCATGCTTCTCACTGAAATAGTTAATTAACTGAGAGGGAAAAGGCAGAGAAGGGTGGAGCTGTGGAACCGTGTATTCTGGGTGGCTGGAAGACAGCGCAGTCCCGTGCTCGCTCAGCAGGTAGCGATGCAGGCTTTTTTCCCCTTGTACACAGTTGCTTGACTGATGCTCTGTTCTGCCTTTCTTCTTTCGTCTTTCCGCTTTACCGTTCCTTCCTGTGTTTCTCTTGGCTTATGCCAGTGACTGTGACCAGTGGTCTGCTTCCATGGGACCCTCTATCCATTCAGTACCCTGCAGAAACACGTGTAGTATATGTCTGGGAGTGGGTGTCGACTTCTCATATACGGAATGTGTTTCGTGAACCAGTGAGAACTTAATTGTCTTAAAGTTTTCATATGGACCTTTAACTCTGTGCTAGTTTTCTTTGCAGTCAATATGGGGTTAGTGGTCAGTAGATAAATTGTTTAGACAAGACACAGTAGACTGTATTTATGGGCATATACATTCTTAGATTTGGGACCAAAAAGTTTAAGTCTTGTGGGAAATATGTTATGGTTATGGCTTTAATGTCAAGACATCCATAGGGTAACCTCCAAATAGTATTAGGGTTAAAGGCAAAGTGGGCAACTTTGCCATGGGATTGATCCATCATTGTCATGAAAGTGTTTTGTAGGCAAAAGTGGTGTAGCTGCTAACAAGGTGTGTAGAAAGAGAAACGTAGTAATAGGATCATCCAATATAATTTTAGTCCACCATTTGTAAGTTTATTTAGTAATAAATAGTAACTCACACTCACGAAGACCATTTAAATTTATAATTCACTTTGTTATCATTAGTCTCTTAAAAAAAAACAAGCAGATATTCCTTTACCCATTTTACACATGTAGGTGGATGTAGAGGTACAAAAAAGGTAAGTGACTTGTCCAAAGAGTGGAGAAAGGCACTCAGATCTTTGAACTGCTAGTGCATCTTTCAGGATATGGTGACACAGGAATCCTGCATTCATGCTGGGAGTTTCAATGACAGAGTGTTCTACAGATGTTAAGAGAACAGAGAGGAAAAAGCTGCATATTAACTTACCAGAGAAGGAAGTCAAGACATTGGAAGCTTCACACATTGCTAGTGGGAATAGAAAATGCTGCAGCCACTTTGGAAAAACAGTTTGGCAGGTCCTCAGGAAGGTGCAGCCACTTTGGAAAAGAGTTTGGCAGGTAAACGTAGAGATATCCCATGACCCAGCAATTCTATCCAGGAGAAATGAAAGTGTATGTTGACATGAAAATTTGTACACAGAGGTTCATAGCAGCATTATTTGTAATGTGGAAATACCCCAAATGTAAACATGTGGAAATACCCCAAATGGCCATCAAAGGATGAATGGATGTACAGAATGAAGTGTATCCATACATTTGAATATTATTTGGCAATAAAAAGGAATAAAGTAATGACACATGCTACAACATGAGTGAAGCTTAAAAGCATGCAAAGTGAAAGCAGCCTGTTCCAAAAGATCTCATATTGTATGACTGCATTTTTATGAAATGTCCAGAATAAATCCATGGAGACAGAAAATAAATCCATGGAGACAAAAAGTAAATTCATGGATACATGGGGAATGACTGGAAATGTTCTCAAATTACATTGTAGTGATGGCTACACAACTCTCTGAATATACTGATAACCACTGAATCTGAATTGTATGCTTTACATGGGTGAAATTCATGTATGTGTGAATTATAGCTCAACAAGGGCATTCAAAAAATTACAGGAGAATATGTTTTTTTTTTTTCCCCAACTCCAGGCCCAGCTTCAGTTATCAGCAATGATGATGACTCTGCCAGCCCACTCCACCACATCTCCAATGGGAGTAACACTCCATCATCTTCAGAGGGCGGCCCTGATGCCGTCATTATTGGAATGACCAAGATCCCTGTCATTGAAAATCCCCAGTACTTTGGCATCACCAACAGTCAGCTCAAGCCAGACACATGTAAGTACAGCTGTTTATACTTACTTTTATACTTACTGGCCTGTTTGCTGCATAGCTATATCAATCAGCAGGTTTATCAGAGTGCTGATAAGGATGACCAAGGGGAGGGAGCAGTGAAATGTCTGAGGATTGGTAGAGCTTTGGGCCTATGGAAAATATCCTTTAGTTTGCTGCTTATGGGATTCTCAAGGCATGTGTCCTTCTGGGCTTGGAACTGTGGGCAGATACCAACTTCACTTGGGATCCATTTTCCAAAACCATTTGTCACCGTGAAGTTGAATCAAGGCAGGCTTGTCTTGAAAAAGAGACAGAAACCAGAGGTATCAGTAGACTGCACACACATCAGTTATAAAAGACAGGTGATTGGTGGGTTTTAAATTGGATTTACTTAAAATTGTTAAAATATATACCATTGGTAGTCAGGAAGATGCTGTGTTGCACGCAGGTGGTATTAACTCCCGGTAGTTCTATATTCTTTGTTCAGTTCTTGTTCCCAGCATGCACAATTGTCATGCCACAATAGGAAAGAGACATCACAACAGATGATGTGCATATTAAGTAGAATGACCTGTTCTTCACAGGACCAAATTAACCCATTAGCCCCTGTTGAGAAGCTTGGGATCTTTCTCAGAGACTCATATTATCTTCAGAGCCACTGCTCAAATATAAAAAATGGAGCATGGCCTAATGGAAAACAAAAAAATAAAACCACATGGAACAAACAGGGTTATGTCATTGGAACTGCAAGCCTTTCTTCATACATGAATAAGGAGCCATGAGGGCTAGAACATCAGGTGGCCTAGGTCCCGGGGGTTCACCTGACATTGATGGACACCTTCTGTCTATTTGGCATATTCTTACTCCATCTTTAATACTGTTCTCCTGCCTTGCCTCAGAGGTAGGATGGAACAAGTGCTAAGTTAAATTTTGGAAATTGACTTTCCTAAGAACTCTCATGGGATAAAGGAACTTAGCAATGAGTATCTTTTCACATATAAGGAAACTCCTATAATTTCCTCCTATGCATTCAAATTTACCCCCAGCGTATGGTGAATATTGCATTTAAATGTAATCATTAGGAAAAACAGTATTATGAGCTTGTAAAAGTGTGAAACTAGACTCCATCATAGTTTTCAGTTGAATATACAATGTGACAAGATAAATAGAATAGCATATATGAGGAATACTGAATTCCTTGAAATAAAAAGTTATTCTTTGAAATCAAGGTATTATTAATCCTAATATTGTCATTATGATGGGGACAAGATGTGTGGAGGCACTACTTAAAATGTGCATTCTTTGTTGAGATAAGCGTCCTCCAAAGGTCCACGAGATACTCTGCATACATAATAAGCAAATGTTGAATAAGGCAAATCAGGGTACTATGATGGGAGAACTCTGTCATCATTTGACTGTCCTCCCCAGAAACAGAGGCTTTTGGCACCCTGTCACCACTACACCAGGGTATATGATATATTTCAGTTAACCTGAGGCTGTATTATAATTGAGGTTGACAAAAATCAACCTGTCCTCAAAAGTTTGTTCTTTGTTGATGGGGAAATATAAAGCTGAATAATCAAGTAGATAGCATCAGTGCAACACATGCAATAAGAGAAAATAAACCAATGGGCAAGAAAGCAAATAAACAAATGAGAACAAAAAAGAATATAGACAAAGTGGCTGTTGAGTCTGTAGTTCTATCTGGACATGTTTTCTATTTTCAGATGTCTGACAGAAAGTTTCTTAAGGGTGTTTTACTTAATCTAGAGTCCATGGAGATTTTTAAAAAGTTTTTTAATTATACATTTTGGTTATTTTGGAGGAATCTTGGATTTGTGGCTCTGGCACTCTATGCCACACCCACTTAGAAGGCATGGGAAGCAAGTTTAAGAGACTTGTATCCTCTCCTCAGTTTCTGTCCTCCACCAGAGTGCCCTAGACCATTGATTCTTCATTTGGTAGTTCCTTCCTTACAAAGTCTTGGTGGGCCTTCACCCAGTGGTCCTTAACCAGCTTGGTGTTCTCAGGCACTCAGAGCATCTTACATCAGAAGAAATTTTCTTTCTTCCAAGCATCAAATTATATGTTCTTTCATGATTTTAAGAACACTTAACAACATATATCTTCCATGAATGTTTTTTAAAGAAATGGGAATGAAGTAGCAGTTTACTTCTTTCCTTCTCTTCATTCTTTCCTAAATGTTATCCTTTACCCCATAGTTTTTCCCTTCATCTTCAATGTATAGTGCCTCTTGTTAGATCCTGACTGACCACTCTTGAGTATGTGTTTCTATAGTCTTGTTTAGATTAGATTGTAAGCTCCTAGAGAGCAGGAACTGTGTCTGTTGAACTATTCTTTCATAGCAAAGGACATGATGTATCTTTGATGTTGGCCAGATGTGGCTATATATTACTGAAATATTAATTACCAACAGACTTATAGCAAGTAAAGATGAGCCCATAGCCATTTTTATTGGCACTACCCCTATTAAACTTGCCTATATAGTAGTTTGTTGGACAAAATTTTAACAATATTTTAGCCAATTTAACCAAATTTAGATAACAGTTTAGCAGGAATAAGCTTTTGACCAAAAAAAATCCCACTTTCTTTGAACCTTCTAATTGTAATCAACCAGGAATGAAAGTATTCAAAAATGCATAGATCAGAGACATACAGAGAGATATGTTGCTATAGATCCATCAAATTTTGGGAGCTTAGCTTTCAGTGAAGTGATTCTCATTGAATATTTTTACAAATTAACCTCCAAAGAACTTTGAAAGAAGGGGTCTTCCAAGGATTTGAACATATCACATTTGAAAAATGAAGTTAAGAAGATCTCAGAAAAAGTTTAGAACTTCTACCATATAGTTAAAGAAAACTATCTTGTGGATGGTGCACCACCAACGTGACCTCATTAGGGTCTTGGGCCACAAACCAGAATATTTACTTCTTTTTCCTAAGTATATGTGCTATTTAAAGATGTTGGCCTTAGAATAGATGTGTGATCTTACAAGGAGTAGTCCCAGTCTCATTCCACTGAATTGTAAGAATCTAATATAGAAGGTGAGGTTCAATTCATTTAATATTTATTGACTACCCACAACACTCTTACAAAGCCAAAGAACCTGAGATTTGGTGAGGGTGGTAGCTTGTCCTTTGTCCTCAGGGAGTCTCATTTGGGAACCGAGTGGTTACAGACATTATTGTAGAAATCACAGCACATGTTGATAGGATAGCTAAGAGCAAGGGTCCTAACCCCCAATTACCTATAGGATCAGGTGGATCATAGAAGAAACAGTCTGGGTCAGAAAGATAATGTGGTGTTGTGAAGGCCATACTAGAACATAAGCCTGGTATTACCAGATTCTCTCATTTTTCCAGTGAGAACAGCTTTTATTATTTTTATGTGAATTCCCTAAAGTTTAAAACACTGTGTGGGATCAATAAATTATTTTCATATGAGTCAGATTTGGTTCATAGTCCACCATCTGTTTGTGGCCCTTGAGTTAGACCTTAAAGGCCAATTAATACAAACCTTACTTTACAAACGATGCTCAGAAGTGGCTTGTCCAAAATGACACACCCTCCATGCTTGCATAGCTTTGCTTTAAACGCAAAACAACAAACAAGCAAGCAAGCAAAAAATCAGGATCAAACCAGATTTCCTTAAATGATATGTAAGATCATTTAAGTGAAAGGATGATGATAAATTATTTCCCCCAAAGTACTTTTTCACTCTCAGGAGCTATGTGAATGGACTCATCTTTAAAAAGTCCGGAGATGGTTTGCAGGATTTTAGAGCAATCTGAACAGGACTGAATTGCTCCTGAGCACTTTCCAATAGCAAGTCTGTCTACTTTATTTCAGGGCCCAGAGGTTCCCCCAAGACCGCCTGATAATAATTTGGTATTTGGAGGCTCCTATGTCACTGCAGGAACTAATGGAGGCTAAATCCATGCCTGATGGAGGAGAAGAGTTCTATGGTTATCTGCAAATTCTGGCCAGACAACATCTTGACGTCACTCCTTAGCTTCCATAACCTAGCCAAGCAAGAAGTTGCCTTCCAAAGAGAAAGCAGTGTGCTCTAATGACTAAGCCCTCAAAGTACTATGTCACTTTAACTATAGACCCATCTCCTCGATCAATCAGGATGGCAAGATGGAGCTGAGGAGCTCAGCAACATCAAGTCTGGAGTTGGTCTTTAATTCAACTAGTCTGTGTAGATGTGTCTGAAAACCACGTCATCTGACAGCACGGGGTGGTTTCCCAGTAGGATTTACCAGCTCGGCTCAAGGGCAGCGGTATGCTATCCTCTCCTTGACTGCTGAGAAAAGTTTTGACAGGGTACAATGGAAACACACCTTCTGGGCTGAAAAAAAATAAATAAAAGAAAGAGAGAAACACTAACCAGCAACTCCCCCAATCCCCTACCCCGAATCATCAATCTTGGGTTCTTTTGAAGGGCAGGAATGCATTATAGCTTCCCCTGCAAGAAGACTGAATGCTATAGACTTATTGTCATCCCTAAATGTGTGTCTTTCCTCGAGCAGCCTTGTAAATTAGCTAGGGTCCTAGGCCTGGGGCCAGAATTAAATTAGAATTATCTCTAAATATGAACTGTACATGTGTGTCTGTGTAGCGCATGCCCCCTGTGAGTACCTAGGGCTGTAACTAACTCCCTGTGGCAGATGCATATACAGAATTCTGACTCTTTCCCTTTGATTCTGCTTCCAGTGAAAAGTGGATATTTACTGATTTCCTGCAGAGTGTGCCACACTCCGCCAGGTATTATAGTTCAAGAGTATGTGTGTGTGTGTATGTGTGTTCTCATTGGTTCCATACTTATTAAGCAATTATGTAGATAAGCACAGATTCATAAACCAGCGAAGACTAGGGAAATGAGACACAATAAGGAGAGGGGGCCTTGTAACTGCAGTTGAAAAGATCACACAGGGCACTCCCCCTGCTCCCCTTAACTGCCATTCCCACACCGTCATTGT